TGTGATCCAATTCCGACCTGATAGGGCCCACGCAGGCGGATTGGTGTTCGGGGAAGTCAAATCATGGTATAACGATTCCACAACATTGGGTATGAGCGACTTGATAATGATGAGATAGCTGAATGCCGTTAGCATCACCAAAGAATAAGCTGAAAAACACTCACCTGATAGATACTCCGAAACACTTGATGGCTATCGCAGCATCGAAGAATATGGCAGCTTGCGGGAATGTAAGCTGTGCAACCGCAAAAAAGGAGCTGCTTCTATGCGGGGCGTATCTAGCCGATAACGAGAGCAGATACAAACCGAAGGCGCCAACACAACCAGAGAATACACATGTGAGGATTCCTGGTATGATACCAGAAGATGCCATAGCCTGATGACATCAAATAAACCCATGAAAACTCCCTACAGGTCTGCGGAACCTTACCAAAGGGAAGGTGAGCATGCCTGCACACAGACTAGTCAATTCTAAGAAACTATAGATTGAACGAAAGCACTCACCACTGCCAATGATTGTATTTGAGAGGTTGCTCACGGAACTCAGCATGCTCGCATGACCTTCCTTCTGTCTTACTGAAGGAGCAGCTTCCCCTGCAAGAAGGGCGCTGCTCTCGCTATCACCTACAGTTGCGTCAGCCGCAGTTGTGAGCACTGCTCCGTATTTCAGCACCATCTCGTATGAATCTAAGTCTAGGTCCAAGGACTCGGAACTTGAAATAGCAGCAGGAGTCGAGTATCCGCTGCGAATGGGGTTGGATAACACACGGCTGGTCTGCACAGAGCTGAACCAGGTACTAGTCAGGGAGTAGATAAACCAAGCCAGCGTGTGGGAGAGCGGTAAACACAAGACTCCTCCACGAGGCAACCCTCTTAACTCACGTGGCCATGGAAGATGTGACTACTTTCCATATGTGGTAATTTGTTTTACTAATGAAATGCCCTTGTTAATTGTTTGGTGCCCGGATTTACTTGTGTACACCAATATTCTGATTCATAACGAGGTATATATATCGTGACCACTACAGAGTCCAGACAAAAGCGAAACCATATCAAAGCTTTGAAAAACAAAGATAACACGATGCAAAACAAAACAGAAGTCATCAATACCGAATACGACTATGACTGCTTCCCAAGCGACCCGTCTGTCGTTCCTTCTGACGTGCCTGCATCCGCTGGTATCGTAAATTCGTCATAATTTGCTTCCCCGTGGGAGACAACTCCGAAGATGATGCAGGCGAGGGTTTATCCTGCAAGTACGGTGGACGGAAACCAAGGGGTCGCAGGGGTGTCTTTGGTTGGGGAAGCTGAGATACCATGTCGTTCTCTTTATCGTGCCAAGGCATATGAGCAGATGAAAAAACCTCGACTTGAGATTTATCCTTTGCAAGAGATGGCACATTTGCGAAAGCATCATGTAGCGATCCGTTGCATGCAAAGATGGGAACCTGGCTATTATGATTGCGATCAATAATCTTGGAGCGCTGAGATGAGCGCGGACGTGAGGATGCAGGGATTAAAGAAGCTGCGTCTCCGCTGACGACGGCAGTGAAGCCCGGATATCTAACATCCCCATTTAATTTCTCTCCAAAAGCAGGTCTAGAAGAAGTGCTTTCAGCCTTGATGCCTGGTAAAGGTTGCAGATCATCCTGCAGCCACGGACTGGGATTCGACTTGGATCGCGAGGGTATCTTGGTGAAAGCACGTGGGCCGCGAGGACCTTGACTGCTTTGTCCACTGCTACTGCTCCGGCCAGTATGGTTGATAATGACGGGTTCGGACTCTGAGTGTACAATGTGATGCGGTAACTCATCTAGGGCTGGTGCAACATGCATAAATTGTGAAGAGGGAAATACGAGCTGTGAAGTAGTTTCGGCATGGGTGGATTCAGGTGAATGGGTATCGCTGAGAGGGGGTTGAACGTTGTTGGATGCCAGATCCAGCATGATGTGCAAGGGAGGAGTCACTTTTCGTGTCGGCAACTTCGAGGGGCGCTCTTCAGAAACCTTTTTCCTGTCAGCGAGAAACCCAAATATCTGTGATGCACGTTGGTGAGACATTGGATTCCCATAAGGTGAATTGACGTGACACGTGGTTTCAGTGGAGGCGCTGAGCTCCACATCAAGAGAGGAGAATGTGGGTTGATTTGGTACAGAGGTGTCGCCTTCAGTAGAGAGTGTGATGTTGTGGTGAGCGTGGTTGAGGTGGGAGGACATGAAAAGGGGTTCGCGAGGTGTTTTGAGTTCGAGAGAAGATGCACAAGAATTATCATTTGTTTCACTAGCAGATTTTCAGAAAGTGGCGTATTAATAAGTTAGAATGCCGCTTACCATAGGACACTCTCAGCCCATTCAATATCACTGTTGTCGTAGAGCTCGGGACCAGATGGGTTGGTCAATAGCTGTCGAAAGGTTGAGCCAGTGCGACGTCTTCGCAGAGGTCCCCTACCTCCTGCGACAGGTGGGGTATTGGAAAATACGTGAGAGTCTAGGCATCCATTATCATCATATACATTGAGCAAGCTAGCGACGGATGGGTCCTGGCGAAGACGAAGAAGACGGTTCTGATCGCGGGGGGTGATGGGTACGCTTTTAGAGCGACGTCGTGGAGAGTCGTTTAAATTCCGTCTCGGAGTTGCAAAACTGTCCATGGGAGGGTATGCATTCGGGAACTCAGTGCGGCTGTGAACTGTGCGACCGTGTACAGTTACTGTGTAAGAGCTGCGTTTGGAAACACTGCCGAGGGTGGCCGTAGATGCATTCGGTGCCGGAAGAACATCGTTAATTGGATGAGCTAAGGAAGATATAAGTATTCAAGAAATATATTGATTGTAAGTCACTTACGGAGAGGTGGAAGTGATGCATAATTCAAAGCTGATTCAACAGGAAAACGCGCAGAAGAGGAGCGCAGGAGTCGGCTTACTGCCACCTCGGCATCTTCCTCTCGCGTCGGCTGCAGGTGCTTGGGAATTGAGGCCAGGGATTCAAGATCATGATGCGCCAATTCTTGTCTCTTTGATTTCTTGCTCCCAATCGAAAAGAATTTCTTCAAAAATCCCATGATAGTTATAAGGTTCGCTGAGTATGTTACCTGGTTTACAGACGTGATTGGAAGAGCATAAAAGATTGTAACGATTGGAAGGAAAAACGGAACTCGATGATCTGCAATCTCAACTACAACCAAATAACTCACAACAACACACGTCTTTTTAGGCACGTGATATTGATTTTTATTTCTTTCTCTTACGTAATTATTTGTCAGTATATTTTCTTCAAAAATTGAAATGTAGCCGTGCTACACCGATATTAATTCAACCAAACCAGTATTCCAGTAGAGCTGGTAAAGGTGCAGTACGCAGCGCACTTCTAATATGTTAAATTATTTAGTAAGCCAGGCAATACAGTCCTGCACTCTATTAAGTACTGCCAGATCAACGGAGTCTTAAAGCTAAAGCCTTGGCTATGTCCAAACATGTTTTACCCCGAATTTGATTCGAAACAGGTACTGCTCTGAGAGTAACTGGGGGTCAACGCTCAGCTCGGGATGGCACTCTATGTTCTAATGGACAGTCATGATCAGGTTTAAGAAACATATCTATAGTCTTGGACTACAATGTCACTTTATTACTATTATTTCCTCTTGACAACATATACCTGTTTTCAGTGGTTCTACACTACCAACTGCCGCTTTGGGCGAAACCGAGCTAACGAGAAAATGATTTAGTGCTCCTGGGAACCAGCTGGTTTGTATTTGTGGTGGGTGTTTGTGTGATAAACAAAAAAATCATCAAGTAAAGGCGCAAATCTGGAGGTCTATCAGAGAATTTTGCCCAATCTCCTACAAAGGTGGTAATAGGCTGTGTGTGTATGAGTCACAGGCTGTACAAATGTCGCGCTGTGAACATCTGAGGGAGATTAAAATAAGTTATGTGGTTGAGATCTGGCGTGAGACATAGCACAGACATCTGCCAGATATCCTACAGATATCTGAGTGCTATCTTTCTGTCTATATGATTTAATTACACAATTCCATGCCTGCAATGGCCAGGTTGTCCAAGCTTGCAAGTTCTCTATATCCCTGCGGCTATTAACCGTCACATTGCATAAAATACAATTGGCATTCGAGACGCATAACATGACAAGTGAGAGCACAACAATGATAAGGTATGTACTTCTGTACATTAACCTGCTTTAAAAAACATCTGGATCGCTGTAACGAGTTTAGTCGGCAGAAATGAGGGGATAAGGATAGAACAGGGCTGCATCCCTACAAAATGTTACAAGTAACATCGGCTACATGGCCCCCCTATCATTTTTCCCCTTCGTCCTCGCCCTCGTATGCCTCTGGCTCGTACTTCTCTACCGACTATCCGTTGACCAGATCCTCGGGACTGTTCCCGTCCCTCATCCCCCTCCTATCGCACCAACGTGCGCACGTGCCTTCGGGCTATGACTCGTTCTGACTCGTGCCACCAATGTGGCTTTCCTTATCTTGTCTTATCTTTCCTCTGACTCATGCGTGCTGCGCATTGTATCATTTACCGTTGGCTCGTTCCAATGTTTCTCGGTCTCATTCCACATTTGACCTCACATCACTAATCAGGCTCTGCTATCAGCGTACCTATACCCTTTCCGTTTCCCCTTTGCCCTTACCCACAGTACGGTAGCCTTGCCCTTAACCCTTTCCACTTAGTATAAGTAGTCAGTCACTCTGTACTAGATTCCCTAACTTGAATCTACTCAATCTTCCCTCGAACATACTTCCCTCTGAAGCCCCCTCAGCTTCAGTCTCTAGTATCTTTTCTTAGGTGCTCATCGCACCTAAGTCTACCTCGATCGACTACTCATCGTACAGACAAGACTGTCCTTACTTTGAGAACGTCAGTGACTTTGAAGACATCCGTCTTAGAAGTCACGTGACATGCGCGTCTCTGATATCTGCCGACTTGTCGTCGCCAATCTCAGTCGCTACTCCGGACCCTTCCGGTTACGTCATGAACATTAGCGGACGACGCCCCTCTTAGGGCTCCGCATAACAGATCTATTTGAGTGCGTAACACAAAATGCCTCCCATATCTCCCCCAAGTTATCGGCATCATCCAAGTCGATCGCCAGAGTCTCCTGGCCAATCGTGGTGCTACTATGACCCAAAGTCTCCAACCATTGTTCAATGAATGCACCTTCTAACGGTACACGGGGATTCCACAATGGCCACGTTCCTCTTGGGAAGAAGGGAAATGTGGCAACGAATGCCAGCCAGAATGCATCCCGTCCCCACATCCACTGTGGCAACTTAGTATCGAGTTGTACGAGCCACTTCTCAATTTCTTTTGATAGCTTCTCCCAATCGCTTCGATTTCTGTGGTCGAACATTGATGGAAGGGGGAAGAACGGTGAAGGTACAACAATTCAGATGGTGAGTCTGAACAATGTTGGGTCTTGCAGAACCTAGCTGCTATTCGACCCTAAAGGGTTTCTGGACTAGGCTTAAGGCTCAGAGGAGAGGAAATATCATAGAAACTTGCTCAGCACTCAGACTCATACTGGTAACTGGTGAAAAGATTGCTTGCTTATGTAAGCTACAAAAGTGCAAACATAAGGTAAGGTAAAAACAGTCTCTACAAGCCCAGCCAGAAATGAATCCCTACAACGGGATGAGGATTTCATCGTGAGAGGGAATGCATTCAATGCTATCGGAAAACTTAAAGCGCAGTGTAAGTTTCAGCACGTCAGATGCAGCAAAGTTTGCTCACATTGGACTCGCTTTCAGTAATATCGCATCGCCACTGGTCTATTGCTGGCGACATGGACATAGCTTTGACAAAAGGCATGGCAAAACATCCATATTCCTCAGCAATTGAGACTGATATCTCGATAGGCTGCAAAAGAACGTAAGTAAGTCTTGCAAATTGCAAGACGCAGTTAACATACTATGTTCTGTTCTATCAGATGCTTTGGAAGGGTACCGGTGTAGAAACAACAATACAGAGAGGAACAAATGATGCTCCTGACTGTATCTAAAAATGTTGTAAGGTCGCGCGTTGCCTAGTCTGCGTTACTTGAGGAGACAAGTGCATTCGACCCTAAAGGGGAAGCGAGTGGAGCAAAGATCTAGAGGTACGCTGTAGAGACTCATGCCTCTCATGGTGTGATATGGCGCGTTACACTAGGAGTACATAGCACAAACTTGCAGCATCACTCTGTGTGCTATCCACAGATATTCCACTATGAGGCGCAGCTTTCCCGCACAACGCGCGCCATTCCCACGCTTCACGATGTATGCGTGCGCGCGTGCGTTCCCACGCTTGAGCGCCCTATAGCGCCAGCCATCCAGAAGCATCCATCCACTGTCCACCAAGCCCTCTAGTGCGTATATTTCTATTTATCTCATCTGCATATTGTTCCATCTTTATTTTTATCATGGACTCTCACCCATATATATCTTACATACCTACTCGGTAGCGCTTCGGCTCCGCATGACCGCGCTTAGGCGCGCTATATAAGCGCCAGCAGTACATAGTACTAGACACTTTCCAACCTACTTTTTAACTTACTTTTCCTACCTTTCACTTTACTATACTTTCCACCCACTATCTACCTAGAAGAACATAGTAGAAATCTATTTGTCTGCACTTTGCACCTCTCTTCACTTATCTTGTATTATATTATCACTTAAGCTTAGTCTCTCTATCATTTCCACACGCGCGCATGCGCTTTCCCGCGCTTCGCGCTAATACACGCGCGCACCTGCACTTTCTCGCACCTTGCTTCAGCGCGTACCTCTAGATCTTCGCTGCACTCGCTTCCCCTTTAGGGTCGAACACACTTGCCTCCTCAAGCATAGCAGACTAGGCAACACACGACCTACAACATTTTTTAGATACAGTCTGGAGCATCATTTGTTCCTCTCTGTATTGTTGTCTCTACAACGCGCTGAAGTGAGGCACGAGAAAGCGCAGGTGCGCGCGGCGGCGCGGGAACACATGCGTGTATTAGCGTGAAGCGCGGGAAAGCACGTGCACGTGTGCGGAAATGATAGAGAGACTAAGCTTAAGTGATAATATAATACAAGATAAGTGAAGAGAGGTGCAAAGTGTAGACAAATAGATTTCAACTATGTTCTTCTAGGTAGATAGTGGGTGGAAAGTAAAGTAAAGTGGAAAGTTCAGTAAGGTTAAAAGTAGGTTGGAAAGTGGAAAGTCCGTTTCACTATGTACTGCTGGCGCTTATATAGCGCGCCTAAGCGCTGTAATGCGGAGCCGAAGCGCTACCGAGTAGGTATGTAAAGATATATATGAGTGAGAATTCATGATAAAAATCAAGTTGGAACAATATGCAATGAGAGAAATAGAAATATACGCACTAGAGGGCTTGGTGGACAGTGGATGGATGCTTCTGGATGGCTGGCACTATAGGGCGCTCAAGCGCGGGAATGCGCATGCGCGTATACATCGTGAAGCATGGGAATGGTGCGCGCATTGCATGGGAAAGCTGCGCCTCATAGTGGAATACCTGCGGATAGCACACAGAGTGATGCTGCAAGTTTGTGCTATGTACTCCCTAGTGTAAAGCACCATATCACACCATGAGAGGCATGAGTCTCTACACCGGCAAATTTGATAGTGAAAAATAACGGCTTGAGCGTAGCGTCATCCATGTTTTGGCTTTGGACATCAGGATAGACAGTTGCGATATTGGTGAGCACTCCAGGCATTGTTATCTTGTGCGCAAGCGCTTGACAGGAATTCAGAGTGTGGAATTTTGGACTTGGAGTTCTTGCACATCTGCATGCCACGTGACTCGCCACCTCTCCCACTCACATTTTGATGCATTCAAGATCCAGATTCAAGACTCGAATCAGTCATGAAGCATGATCTCATCGACGGCACAAGTACGTTATATACCTTGTCTGTGTCTGGTGATAATATAATGTTTCTTACAGTTTTCCAATTCTGCAATGATGCGCAGAGCCACATCATTTGCAAAGTATGCCGCAAGAAGAATGGTGTGCACCATACCATGGAACTTCGCTTTATCCAGAAGCACATCCTATCCGAAATGCACTCACGTCACACCAAAAATTTCAAGAACGGTCAAGCATCAAAAATTCATACTGTTTTCAAGACAGACTTGCGGCAGCCTCAACAATGCAGGATGGACTCGGATGTGGAGGTCGAATCGTTCGGAATGGATGGTGATAATGGCCTGATGGATCTTGACTCGTACAGCATGCCCAAGGCTGACTTGGAGGTCCCATTCTCTGAGCACTTATCCAATATCATTGGAAGTCAGACGTATGAGTTCGATGAACGCTTCACCGATCTATTTGCTGAACTGCAAGAAAATCTTGCCTCTGGTGAAATCCCCTTCTCGACACCACTTGCGCCTATCAACAAGGAGGATGAGTTATATGACTATAACACACCTGACTTTGGGATCAATATTTTTGGTGAGTGCATTCGAGTTGTCTCTCTGTTTTGTACCTAAATGTGTTCACAGACTATGAACCTCCAGCAAAAAAGTACGCTCTTAAAGATATCATTCCTGATAATCCCACCTACCCCTGGCCATCACAAGCGGTGAGTATACTCACTGTTATCAGTTATGCAACACATGTTTACAATCTTAAGGATTTTGTGACATCACTTCTGTTCAGCTCTCCGCACCTGCCGTTTTCTGATGCCCAGAAGAAAGCGGTACTCAATTGGGCAAGAGAGCTCGGCGCTCAAAATGTACCCTCACTTGATGCAACCAAGAAGTGTCAACTGTTCATTGAAGATCTTGTTGGTCAGCCAACCGAGAAAGTCACTGCCCGGTCAGGGAATATATTCTACCTGAATGATATTGTGAATGCAATTGCAAAGGTTCGTCTATTGCCGCTTCAAGTTAGAGTGCTGTATGTATGTTATTTTCCAGGACTATGCAAATCCGCTTACGCGTTTCGCAATGCAAGATTATCCAGAAGATGGTGGAAAGGGGATGACGCAGGTCTTCAATGGCACAAAAATGTTACTCGACCTTCCATCACCTCCCGCAGTTCGAGTGGATGGGATGATATATTTTGTCAATGAGCTGTTGAAGGACTCTTCGGGAGCCTACTTTATCCCAGAACGGTTTTTCCTTGGCTCTCCGTCTGTTGAGGGTGGTGTTGAAGGTTTTGAACAATCCGACAGCAAAATCCTCTATGCACTCGGTTGCGCTGCTGAACCAACTGATGTGAGTGAGCTTCGTTGTGTTTTGTACAATTTTAAACGGTTTGATAGGCAGGATTCATTATTAATGACAAACAGGAAATCATCCCAACTCCGATATTTGCACAGTCATATGAAGATCTTTCATTATCGAATGAGCTTGACTGTGGACTCACTGGTGCGTTAGACTTTGGTCATCTTTTTCAGTGGATGTGAACTTATGTATGTATGCAACAGCGTCATCTGCTAAATACGGGTCACTTGGGCCCAATCCATTGCGCGAAAAGGCGAAGGGCCGAATGGTATATGCAGTTCCTTTGATAATCTTTATGGATGATGTTTCGGGAAACGTTTCGAAGCAATGGAACAAACATCATGCCATTTACATGTCGAACGCAAATCTACCCCGCGAAATGCTCGAGAAGGAGTTCTTTGTGTGATTCGTCTCATTGTCACCGCATGCCGCTCCAATGGAACTAATGCGCAGGATGAAAGATTCTCTTCAGTATGTTTCTCTGGACTTATTCTGTATTTCTCTTGAGTTTTTGCAGTAAGGCAGCAGAGTCTGGCATTGTTATGTGGGACTGTAGAGATGAGGAGGAGGTCATGCTTATTCCGTCTGGACTGTTTCTTGCTGGCGACAATCCTATGCAAGCTGAGGAATGCAGTCACGCAGGTCTCAATTGCAACTATTTTTGCAGGACGTGTGATGTTGGGGGCACGAAAGAATATAAGGCATCTGAAGAAGGTTATAACAGTATATTCAAGGTGCAAACATATCACAGCATCTTTCACCTGATCTAATCTTGCACTCATAGTCAGGTAATTTACGAACACCCGAAAAGACCACTGAAGATATTCAACATCAATTCGAAGCTGCAATGAAATCAGGTGCCACAACAAAAGTGCAGAGTGCTGTTTCCTCCACAGGCATTCGTGACAGCACCTTGGCGTCCATCCTCGAGTCTCTCGTAGAACTCGGAAAGAAACTTCGTAAACGAGGGGCGGGCTTACCAGCAACAGCCAAAAGTGAAGTCACTGCAATGCTCGAAAAGGAGTTTGAGGAATTGCTACAAGGTGCCACACTCAATGATGCAATGAATCTGCTGCTTGGGATGAATGGTAAGCTCGAATGATGGTGTTTGTGCCGCACTCACGATGTTGTCCCACAGGGATCAACATGCACTTGGATACACCGACTGAAATCCTGCATACAATATTGTTGGGTGTGGTGAAGTACTTTTGGGGTCAGAGTGTTTTTCTCCTCGAGAAAGCGAAGTTTCTGCACATCTTTCAAAGCTGCCTCGAGTCTGTCGACAAAGACGGACTGAACGCACCCTCTCTCAATGCGGACTACATATGTCACTATAAAGGCAGTTTGATAGGCAAACATTTTAAGAGCCTGGCCCAAGTTATGCCCTTCCTGGTGTACGACCTCGTCCCTCAGACAGTTGTCAATGGTTGGTCCGTTGTAGGGATTCATTTCTGGTTGGGCTTGTAGAGACTGTTTTTACCTTACCTTATGTTGGCACTTTTGTAGCTTACATAATCAAGCAATCTTTTCACCAGTTACCAGTATGAGTCAGAGTCCTCAGTAGTTTTTATGATATTTCCTCTCCTCTGAGCCTTGAGCCTGGTCCAGAAACCCTTTAGGGTCGAATAGCAGCTAGGTTCTGCAAGACCCAACACATTGTTCAGACTCACCATCTGAATTGTTGTACCTTCACCGTCATCGGAGAACTTGTCATGCTTGTTTGGCACACGACAATACCGGATACCGAAGAATATCTTGTGAGTTCGCACTGCTGAAGTGTTGAAACGTGTTGTAGACTGATTGATCTTTTGTGATTAGGCAAGGTTATCCCGAATGATCGAGGACTTTCTTAACATCACAGCGCAATGTGCTCCGAGCAGTCTTATCAGCAAGCCCAAGTTTCACTTCTTAATTCATCTTCCAGCTTTCATCTGTTGTTTCGGACCCGCAATCATATTCTCCACCGAGAGATATGAATCGTTTAATCGTGTTTTCCGACTGTCATGCATTCACAGTAATCGCTGCACGCCCAGCAGGGATACTTGTCGACTCTTTGCGTACCAAGACATCGTGAAACACGTGGCCACTGGTGGATATTGGTTTGACCACAATGTCAAGAAATGGGTTCGCAGAGGAGCGCAGGTGCTATGTTATATCAACGAACGCCCAGAACAGGCCCACCTGCTTGGTATATCAAGTATCTTGTGCGAGCCTCCACTACCAGGTCAGTCAGGCAGCATACTGTTGTGCTTTTACTCAAGTGTACATAGGCACCGGAAGTCCTGATACTGTCATTGGTGCAAGTGGAAAAGCGCAATGAATGGACGAAGTACAATGGAAGCATACTCGTTGTGTGAAAATCCTCAAGACTTCTCGATCTGGCGTTTCCTACTACCATGGCAAATCACTAGTGACGAGTAAGGGAGATCAAGTCGACTTGAATGGCCACATCATTTTCCGACGACCTGCGGATGGACAGGTAAATGATTTTGAGCCTCTCCGTAATCAATCATTGATGTGTGTGTAGATGCTTATTGGACGCATCCGCGAGATCCTTATATCACACGACATCGATAAAATCGTGGACCATGTCGCACTGCAAGTATTTTCATTCAGACCTACATTACATCCTTCAGTCTTTCTACCATGTCTCGACCTTACGAACGATGAAATAGTTTCAATGGCGTCAGTAAGTAACATATTCTGAAACTCAGAGTCATCTGTTGAAGATTCATACTGGATATCATTTGCTCCGTCAATCTTCAACACAACTGCATCGATTCCAAATGCGTAGACATGCGCCAGCAACATGTACTTCAAGAACAGATTCAAACCACTCGAACGAAGCCTGTTGTTGACCATCAGCCTACTCCGCACTTCTTCCTCAATACCTACTCAATTCACAACTGTGATCATATCCGACTGGTCATACCTGAGGCGCTTCGCGAGTCGCCATTGAGGGTCACCAATCTGGCTGAGGTTCGGAATTTAGCTGTTCAGCAGATGAAAGATAAAAAGGCAGCAAAGAAATTGGGTGACAACCCTGGGCCTCAGGAAGGTGCGATCACCGTGGAGGAAGGTGTCCGCAATGCAACTGCACCACTTCCCACATTTGATCGCGCTCCCACCAAAAAGGCAGCTGCCAAGCCAAGAAAGAATGCAAGCAGCGCCAGCACACGAGGCAGGAAGAAGACAATGCCATCAGATGTTGGGCAGCCCATTGCTGGGACCTCAAGATGCATGTCTCCACCCACTCAGCAGGGTCCAATGGTCCCATCCCACCAATCACTCATGCCGTCCCTACTGCAAGCCTCATATTACCCTCCGCTGCTGCCAATGGGACCTCCACTGCAAGCCCCACATCATCATCAGGCTCCTTTTCTGCCGTCATATCCCAATACAGGTCCTCGAGGAGCGCATGTGGCACCCCCACCCCTTATGCACCCCACTTACACAGTCGCATTCCCCCACTCACAACCTCCTCTGGCAACACACCAACTCCACACCTCTGCCGTTAACCCCACGCAAGCCGAGCTACCAGGTTTGCAGCCTTGCACTGCACACGCACATGCACAGATGTACCCAAACCACCAACAACAAGCCTGGATGGCTCAGGCTCGTGCACAGATGCACCTGGATCACCAACAGCAAGCCTGGACGGCTCAGGCTCATGTGCAAGCCATTCACACTCACACACAGTCACAGGCACAGCACCCACCCCATTTCTCAGACTATCTTATGCATCCCCGGGATGGGCACTAAGCCACAAATCTTCTTGAGCCTTGGCCAGTGAATGAGCATGACAGAAACACCCTTGGAAAAACTTTTCAGCTGCCTGAACTGCTGGGAATCTTACCGGAGGTCCAGTGCATGAACATCCCTCTGCTTTAAAACAGCAAGAGCAGCAGACTGAAAGCTGCCCTGCTTGGGGGATGTAATTGAGAATCCTCCAGGACGGGGGGGATGTAATTGAGAATCCTCTAGGATGGGAGGGGTGTAGTTTAGAATTCTCCAGGACTGGTATACTACATATATACATTTTGTATTGCTTTAATGTTATCTTCCGAGTCTCCCTCAGGCTGTTTTGAGTGCTCGACCATGACTCAGATGTTTGTATGCAGCCGAACAAAACTTATGACACACTCGGAACGGAAAAGTGTGGTGATGTCCCTCAGTCTCCCTCACCCTCCCTCACCCAACCAACTCCCTGCTCGATGATGTTGCTCCAACGGTTCCCGTGAGGTCTGGAAGTTCTAACAACAAGACAGGCAGTTCACAGCCCAGAGGGCCTGGATCGACAAGCAGGCTGTTGTCGCCAGCCATTGCTGGGGGACCCTGAGGGAGGAGTCTTTCTGCATCTTTTCAACGACCTTCTGGTTCTGGTACACCTAGGCCATCTGGAAGCAGGAATAGCAGTATCCAGCAAGAGTGCTCACCTCTGGGAACAATCCCATCAGTTCAACCAGGGAGTGGCCACTCAGCCTCTCACACTGTCATTGATGGGCTTAGCGGTAGCAGTAGAGTCGTTTTGCAGACTCCATCTGAAGCGTCTCTTGATGAGCATATCACGATTGGTGTGCACCACCGGAGAACAGACTCTGATGATGGCTTTGACATGACTCAGTCGCTATCACCCTCACAGGTGAAAAAGCTCAAGATGTATGTGAACCAAGTCGCTGAGGAGACTGGATGCCCACAGGAAGTTCTACACAAATTCATTGATGTCAGTGTTTCGAGATTACGATTGCGCACTTTTGTTGACAACATTTAGGCCGGATCCATCTTTCACATGCTCATTGATTTGAAAGCCACCTCATACAAGAGGAACAAGGATCAAGAAAAGGCCACTATCCTCGACTTGAAAGAATTGATTGATTCCAAGGATTTCAAGGTCATTATTTGCCTTCTCAGAGGGCACCATGCTGACCAGATTGAAATGTAGTCAGCGCTTCAGAGTCGTTTAACAGCCTGTCTCCTGTCGCCAAACATTACCGCTTATGTCACCGACACGCACACAAACATCATGGTACCTGTTACACTGCCTCTTGCATGCACGGGAATTGACTTTAGAGCAGGAGTTTATCAAGAATCATCGTAAAGTGTTCAAATTGCTGGCTGCACTGATTCAAGATGTCAAGCTTTTGGCACAGCTCTCGAAGATCATCAGCGAATTGCTCTCGTCTATTCGTGGCAACCTCAAGGCCAAGGTATATTTTTCATTAGTCCATACGAGCCATCATGACACTGACCATCTTTAAGTTGGTCACATCGATCGCCAAACGCATGAGCATTATGGACACAGCTAAGTCACTCGCTCATGGAATAATTGAGGTGGAAGCTGGTCATTGGAATAGATACGCGTTTTTGGTATGTTTTAATTCTAATAAAAGTTATCAAGTGTTTAACACAGGTCTAGCGGCGCTGCTTGAGAATCTTCTTGATCGGAGTCGGCAACTACAAAGCTATCCCACTCGAGGACCTTTACTCAAGCTCACTCAAACCTTCTCTTCATGCAGACCTCCATGCCAAAATTACAATGGCACTCAATTGCGAAGCAGACATGGACGCAGACAAGGATGACCAGCAGCACACAGAACATGCCGAAGATGACATGGACCATATGAATGACAAAGGTTCCGAAGGAGAACTTGGCATGAGCAACGAGGCTGATGATGATGGTAACCTTGGAGGGGGAGAGCACATGATGGACAACGGAGAGGAGGAACAGAATCAGGATGAAGAAACCATCCAGCAAGAACCTGAAGGCAACGAGGACAACAATGCCGGTTCTGGATTCATCAAGGGAAAGAACGGCAAGCCTCCCAAGTTCACCTCCGCAAAATTCTGGAATTATGTGGATTGCTCGCTCGAAGCTGTCCGCCAAGCTGCGAGGGAAGAGGCAGGACCAGATTATGCAAAGTCAGCTCGCTGTGTATATGAAAACGCAGTACGAAAGTAAGTATATTGTCATTCCGCTGCATGCACAATTGCTGATCATTCCATAGCATACTCATTGAATACTTTCAAATGGACCTTGTCGAGTTTCCAGGGAGCATGGTCGTTCCTAAGCTCCTGAAAACAACTAGTCCCCAGTGGCAGACGACTATTCAGGACTCGTTGCTTTGGGGCTGAGTTCCCTAGTACTACGAAGCTTGTTCCGAAGCTCTTCGCGCCATGACCAGCACTATTCACTCCTTTGGTAAATAATTTCACGAGACCTTCCTTCACTTGCATTAAACACTATACATATCTACGCATTAATTATCATTGTGTCTACCCCGCCATTATTAATGCAATAGCGCTCAGCATGCTCCATTTAAATCTTTTTATCTGATTGATTCCGAATGGCTGAGGTGTGTGCGAGATCAACCAAAATATATACTTCCTGTCTATGACACGAGACATCTGTGCGGCCTATGAAACCAGACATCTGTGCAACCTATGAAATCAGACATTTGTGTGACCCAACACATGGGATATCTGTGCGACATATGAAATGAAATATCTGCACAACATATGAAACGAGACCTCTGTGCAACCTATTGAAACCAGATATTAAAGATATTTTAATCCAGTATAACGACTAGCTACGATTGTCGATGTTCCACCGAGGTCTCATAGATGTTGTCAGGTTCCTAGTAAAGATCTCTTAGATCACACATCCACTGGCTCGCTCCGGCAAATTTTTAAATTGTCAGCAATTTCTGACGAGAAAACCCTTCAGAAAATATTATTAAAGGTTTGGCACATGGTACCCGATTTGGACATGTGTCAAAGGTTTGCGGCAGTTTGCAGTGTACTGTCTTGCGCATCTGAGTCTTTCTCACACTTACATAGACGCTTCACGTGATATTAAGAAACGTTAATTGATATGGATTGGACGCTTGACTTGTAGCAGGAACCCTGGAAGTTGTGCCGTTCTTGTACGATGCCGACGGCGTTCTTGGTTGTGGGCAGCACTGTCCGCGACTTCTGTATGCTAGAACGAAACTTCTTGACACATATCAAACTGGTCCTGTTGTTATTACTCATGTTTGCCTCGGCGTTGCTTGGAATCCGTCTCCCTGGACCTCCTGGCACGGGAGAATCTGAGAGCTTGGGGTCTTTCAGTTTACCCCTCGCAATTCTTCAGTTTATCGCCGCCCTTCTTACAATCGCTGCAGCATTCTGGGAGTACCACACAGGTCTGGATGACCTAATAAAAGTCAGGGCCTTCTTTGTTGTAAACAGGTAAGTCTGCAGTTCCCCAGACTTTATCATGCGGATAACAGTTGTTCGCAGACTACACCATATCATGATGGCAGCTGTCACTTTCATTATCGTGGCCACCTGTATCGTATATGCGGTCAAGAGCGGTTAGCGTTTACCAGGTCACGGTGTGGGCAACTCTTCCATGACTCGGTGCATCCTCTGAATATTCTCATGCTCCTTCTATCAAGGGCCATGAATATTCCTCGTGAGAATGAATTGAAGTATGGTGATCCATATCTTCGTGTCATCATTCTCGCGATATCATCCTCCAAAATCCTTCCCTTCTCGAAGCAGATCACAACTAGTTGTTGTACAAGAATTGTCTCACTTCGTTGTCTTTACATTGGTCGATCTAGACACATCTCAATGAAAGATTCGGTACATTCTGATACATCTCACGCTCTTGTATACCATACTCAGCTGTATTCGGTACATCATTTCGAACTCTGATGACAGAATATGTGTGAGACTCTGTGCTTCGCTAGCGGCACTTAAGCCAGCACAACTCGCTCGATTACGTGATGATCGCAGAGTTCAGGAGAAATCCACGCTCACCGGCAACCCATTAGTGTCCTTAAAGTATCCCAGACCTTCTCTTAGCGTTATCAACCGCAGTCTCCTCCTTTCCCTCCTTCACAAATGAGAATCAGCAAAAAGATCGAGCAGTCCAACAAGGAAGGCAAATTATGGTGGTCATTCGAATATTTTCCACCTCGGACAGCTCAGGTGCGACCCCATCGCGGTCATGAGACGCTCAATTATCTGATATATGTTCATAGGGTCTCCAAAACTTGCTTGATCGTATCAAGCGCATGACCGCATTGGGCCCGGAATTCATTGATATTACATGGTAGAACGTTTACTTATATGATGAGAAACCACTTTACGCCCTGTGAATAGGAATGCTGGTGGTCGGACGTCCGATTTGACTGCACACATGGTGAAGACTTGTCAAGGCTCAGTGGGCGTAGAAACATGTATGCACTTGACATGCACGAACATGCCTAAAGAAAAAGTCGACATTGCTCTCCAGGTGTGTATCCGCGTCTGATTCATTTGTATACCTCTTTCATTTAATATTGATCACAGGAAGCAAAAAAAGCTGGTTGTCGCAACGTCTTGGCCCTTCGCGGTGATCCACCTCAAGGGAAGGATGAGTGGGAAGCGGTCGAGGGTGGTTTTATACATGGTATTGACCTAGTCAAACACATCCACAACGAATACGGGGACTACTTCGATATCGCAGTCGCTGGATTCCCTCAGTTCCAGCTCCTTCCGCCCGCAGAACGCGACCTTGAAATGAAATACCTCAAGGAGAAAGTCGATGCCGGCGTCAACTTCATCTTCACACAGATGTTCTACGACGTCGATGTCTTTATTGACTGGGTGAATGCAATTAGGGCGGCTGGAATCACAATTCCAATCGTTCCTGGTATTGCTCCTATTCAAACGTGGAATGGCTTCTTAAAGGCCACATCTCTTGCGAACACCAAGATTCCGCAGTCTTTTTTGGACGCTCTAGAGCCTTATAAAAACGATGACGAGAAGGTTCGGGAGATCGGAACTAAGCTCGTGGCGGACATGTGCCGGAAGATTCTTGCTGCTGGCCTCGGTATTCAGGGTCTTCACTTCTATACCATGAACTTGGAGAAGGGGACAAAGATGCTACTAGAGGAACTGAACCTTACGCCTCGTGTAGAGACTATCAAGCCTTTACCCTGGAGACAAGTATGTGGACACCCCTCAGCGCTCAATGCTTTATTCTCATGTTTTGTTTCAGTCGCTTACACCAAACCGACGGCAAGAAAACATCCGTCCTATCTTCTGGGCGAATCGGGCCGATTCATACCTTTCGCGTACTGAAAACTGGGATGAGTTCCCAAATGGTCGGTTTGGTGACTCACGGAGTCCCGCGTATGGTGAGCTTGATGGATACGGAATCTGGCTCAAACAAACGGCGAGTAACACAAAACACGAGCCACCAATTCAGTCACTGACTTCTACTGCAGAAGGAGGAGGCTTTGAAACTTTGGGGAGAACCCAAGACATTTGCAGACGTCGCATCGTTATTTAGTCGATTCTGTTTGGGTAGTCTCAAGGCCCTCCCATGGTCGAATCAAGCGGCATCTTCCGAAACCTCTGCCATCGCCTTGCAACTCGCCAAGATGAACGAACTTGGTTTCTTGACAATAAACTCTCAACCCGCCGTCAATGGTGCAAGGAGCGACGACCCACAATTTGGTTGGGGTCCAAGTAATGGGTATGTCTACCAGAAGGTAAGCATCGCCCTTGAATTGCGAGCTCCCTCTTAACATCTACATCTGCTATCTATCAGGCATATTTAGAGTTCTTCGTTGGCCCTCAACTGCTAGAACTCCTGATTGCTCACATCGAGCGTGATAGCAATATGACCTACTACGTCATCAACAAACAAGGTGACCTGAGGACGAACACCCATTCCGACGGACCCAACGCTGTCACATGGGGAGTTTTCCCCGGTAAGGAGATTGTCCAGCCGACAGTTGTCGAGGCTCTCAGCTTCATGGCGTGGAAGGTGAGTCGTATTTGGCTCAGTGGGATCGTTCTTAATATTGTCCCCCAGGACGAAGCATACGAGCTAGGTGTCAAGTGGGCCAACATTTACGAGGCAGGGACGCCATCACGCAAGCTCATGATGGAGATCTTTGAATCGTCATGCCTCGTCAACGTCGTCCACAACGATTTCAAGGATTCACAAGCCATCTTTGAGCCCTTCTTCAAGGCAGGTGCGGAATACACGGCCCAGCACATCAATGGCAACGGCTCTGCTGCACCCAAGGCACTTCCAAACTAGCCTCGATCTCAAGCACAAGGTCGATTTCGCATACCCCGCCTTCCACATTGCGGGTTCAACCCCCGTATGACATGCATATCCAGCACAACTAATATCTGACACCCAACCACACCACTGACAAGAAAGTTCTCATCTCATCTCATCGCATCAACTGCCACAGCTTGTATATCAGCCACCCTGCATCAACTGCACACTGCATCAACTGCACCCATCCCCTCGATATAGTTTCCACGAGACAAGGGATGTTTATTGTAAAAGCCGTATACGAGCAACTAATAGTATTGTTTACATGATTACCCGTCATCGAATCTCATCACGTCTTGATAGACATACACGAATCATAATTATAAGAGAAACATACACCTAACTTCATCGCATCAGATGAGATCAGAGAAAAAGAAATCGGTATTGCTTGGAGGAGGTCCTGCCACCAGTCCACTGGGTATATCCACCTTCTCGCCTGATAGATCTAAAAGAAGTTATAGATGGTCTTGTGGTACGAGTGGCGATCGACTCACCGAGAAGCTTGATCTTGAGGCCGATCTCTGTCAATGCTTTGATGTACCCTGCTGTTTCATCAGATGTGACATGACCACTGTCCCGCCGAAGCATGTTCAGCCCATCAGTCCAATCTGCCCACCGTAACTGATCTGACGCGATTTGGTCTGCCAGGGAGCCTTCAGTGGCTGTCAGGAGAGAAAATGATAGGGGCGATGGTGTGAGATTGCTAGGCGGAGATAGGTCGAGGTGATCTCGCAAGTTGTTTGGTGGAGATGCACATGTGCCTGTGGCGATCTGGGTGATTGCTGCGATCTCAATCCGCTCTGGTAGATCTTCAAGTCCATTTCGAACGGCGAACTGGACCGCACTATCCACATAATGGAGATATTTCAAGCCGTTGTCCTATCGAGCCAATGAGCTTACTTCGGGAAGCACGCAATAGATCCATACCAGTCGTATGAATCTCCAATGCCCGTTTGGACGCCGCGAAGGACCGTTAGCTGGTGTGGGGATGCCATTGACAAACCATGCCCCTTGAAACAGGCACTGTATTCGTTGTTGACGGACAAACTCGGCGGACTCGCGGGTGATCTTCTCTTTCAAGTTCCTTGATTTCCCAGTATTAGTCAAGAACCCTAAGATGAGATGCCGAAATTCTTACCGCACAGGAACCTTGCTCAGAAGGTCGTCTTCTGCTTCAAGCTCTTGCATCTGCCTGTCCCTCACGGCGCGATACTCGCAGTCGAGGAAATCGTGCTCCACCTCGTGCCATGGCTTCATGTTTTCCCTTTGTAATGCCACTTTGACCCTTGAGAGAATCAGGGGTGAATATCACAAGGATTGGGAGAGATCATCACGTACTGGCTTCGAGCGAGCGCCACAATGCGAGAGAAATCGCCTGCCGCAGAGCCACTCTCATTCCACATTCGCAAGAAAAATTGTGTGGCGAGAGCATGGACCCGGTAAAAATTGAGGAAAAAAGGCTGGTATGTTGTTGATGTTGAATCTGATAATGGGTATGTTAGATGAGTTGCGTGTTCCGAGATAGATTACTAACATGCAGGAGCGAAAATCATCCAATGCTCTGCAAGCAGTTCAACAATTTCATTTGAAGCCCTTGCAATGGGGCATCGCCTGTCTACCGGACGACTCAACTGTTCCAATATAACCTACGGACGATATCAATGTTGGTGTCGGCGATTAGGAGGAAGAATAAAGATAGCTCACTTTTGAGAATAGATCCGGGTCGTCTGCAACAAAATTACGCTGTGACATAATCAGTCGAAGGACTATACAACGAAAATGACGGTGCTTACCAAACAATCAAGCCCAAGCTCCCCTACTTCTTGAAACTCGTGCACCAGATTCTCACTTAAAAACCCAAGCTTTTGCCATTTCAATACTTCACCATCGCTATCCCGCTCTTCCTGAACTTTGCTACAATGCCATATATATTCAAGAGCAGACTCATGAAGAGGCTCGACTTCGGGCTCGACAAGCGTCGATTTCTTACGGTATGTCACGCGCACGATATTGGCCTGGAAGTCGAGAATCGAGGAGGTAAGGTCATCTATATTATGTGACGACATAAGTCGCTAAAAACTTCATGAGTGGTCCGCGAAACACAAATGGGATACTACGCACAATAACCGCTTTCCGAACATTGAGTCGCTCTAGTTCAGAGATAAACTCATCCCACTCAGTATCATTGACGTGCGAAAGCAGGGAATTGATCAGCATCATGCTGCAGGGACGTCAGTGCGTGCCTTATTCGAATTTCCTATGCGTTGCGCATACCTATGTAGAATCATTGCAGTATCTGCACTTCCAAGCCGATTTACGACAGTTTCCAATGATCCTTTCTCCCTCCGCATCTGCTGGAAAACGATCTGGAAACCGTACCGATACACCGAGCCAGGGGGTGCAACAGGGGGAGCCCTACTCGAACTGGCGATCAGTGGCCCAGGCGCATTCATTGGATCAGCTTCGACAAGCTTCTTTAAGATAGCGGTGGCGGGGCGACAAACGTTGATGAGGGAATTTGGCGAAGAGAGGATTTGGACAACTTTGAAAACGAAAGTGTTGTCGAGGGTTGACCAGCCGTAGTCCAGGTCCATCAGGTTG